GCTGTCTAATAGATTTTGAGCAAATGAACCTTAAACTCCTTGATTTAATTTAGAGTTAGTTTCCCAATGCTTGAATTAAATCTAAGAAACTGCTGGAATGTTAAAACTCTGTGATGGAAATGAAACCAGCCATATCTAAGGAACATCCATCAAAAAAGCAGGCAATTTTTAAAGCAAATTTGTACTCTCTAGCCTCCATTGGCTTCGGAGGAGTACTTCAGTCCCCAACATGGATTCCTAAGTAGAATTTGAGAAGAAATTATCACCTCATTCCCACACATACACAAAATGTATCAGGATACAAAATAGCAAAGTGAAACCGCATGAGAGTAGCCCAGAAGCATGCAATGATATCCAAATAGCCAAGTCTGTTCAATGGTTTTAGTACTGGAGTATGATTCTGGAAGATCAGCCTATGAAACCTTGGGCAAGTGACATTGTCTTAATCTCATAAAATGACAATAGCAAACTCCCTTTGAAATATCTTGCCCAGAAAACCATATGACGGGTTTTCTTTTTAGGGTTTTCATAAGCTAGAAATTATTGGAAGGTTGAGAAAAACACAAAAGAAGAACAACTATGTCTAAAAAAGACTGGCACTGAGTAACAAATATTGTGATATGTATTTGTCTTAAATAACACCAAATAAATGTTTAAATATTGAACAGAGATGGCAAATAATTTCTCATTTCACTTGCTGTTACCAGAAATACCATCAAAATACCTCAAGACTTATGTCCCTCTTCCCCAACTTTATATCTTTCCTCTAAAAGAATTTATTTATTTACTTATTATTTACTACATTTCTATCCTGAAGGGGACTCAGAGTGACTTACATAATTTGACATAATTTGATGCCACAATTCAGCGATATACAAAACAATACATTAATAAACAATAAAACAGATAAAAACATATAATATCAGAACTTTAAAACATGATGGCTAGTCCTGCAGCCGTCATTTGTGTTGCTACATTATGCCAAATCCGTATTGCACTACCCAAATGGCTGATTGCATAGCCAAGTTTTCACCTTTTTTTCTAAACACCAGGAGGGAGGGGCCCATTGAAGAAGGAGTTCCACAGCTGAGGGGTCACCACTGAGAAGGCCCTGTCTCTCGTTCCCACCAATTGTGCCTAAGAAGAAGATAGGACCAAGAGCAGGACCTCCCCAGAGGATCTTAATGCTCTAACAGATTCATAGGGAGGGATACTTTGGATAGCTAAGTTGGACCAAAACTTGGAGTAAAAATTAGAATGCAAGGCTACAGTCTATAAATTCATTCAAATATGTATAAAGAAATCTAACTTAATAATAGATGCATCTGTGAGTCTTCCCAATATTGCCACATTTTCAAGAAGAAGCTCATGTGGCTGATCTGGTCGGGGTGGTCCATGCCTTGGTCACCTCTAGATTGGATTACTGTAATGTGCTCTATGTGGGGCTGCCCTTGAAAACGGCTCGGAAATTTCAACTGGTCCAACGGGCAGCGGCCAGGATGTTAACTGGTGCTCCTTACAGAGAGAGGTCAACCCACCTGTTCAAGGAGTTCCACTGGCTGCCATTTATTTTCTGAGCCCAATTTAAGGTGCAGGTGCTTACCTACAAAGCCCTGAACGGTTTGGGACCAGCCTACCTGTGTGACCGCATCTCCGTCTACGAACCCACCCATCTGGAGAGGCCCTGCTCGTGATCCCACCTGCATCGCAAACGCGTTTGGTGGGGACACAAGACAGGGCCTTTTCTGTGGTGGCCCCTGACTCTGGAACACCCTCCCCAAAGATCTTAGACAGGCCCCTACATTGGCAGTCTTCAGAAAGAACTTAAAGACCTGGCTGTTCCGATGTGCCTTCCCAGAATAGGAAATCTCCAATACTCCCAGAAGCACTTTATTAGAATAGGAAATCTCCCAGAAGCACTTTATTAGAACTAAGATTGCCGCACACTGCACACTGCACTTGCCCTATAATCCTTACATATCACCTGTCACATCAGCACTTTTAATTCTGTACCCTTCACTCTGGCCTGGCCCAGTTTTATTGTGTTTTGGTGTATTGTTTATTGCTTGTTGTTTTGTTGTTTAATATTGCTTTAATTGTTTTTAATTTGCTTTAGGTTTGTATTGTTATGTTGTGTTTGAGGCCTTGGCCTTTGTAAGCCGCATCGAGTCCTTCGGGAGATGCTAGCGGGGTACAAATAAAGTTAATAATAATAATGTTTTCTTGTTTCATAGGAATAAACGGTTTTCAGAAGTAATTGGCATATAACTCATAATAAAGCTTCCTAAGTAAATTCTTGTTAGGTTCTTGTGGGTTTTTTCGGGCTATAGAGCCATGTTCTAGAGGCATTTCTCCTGACGTTTCGCCTGCATCTATGGCAAGCATCCTCAGAGGTAGTGAGGTCTGTTGGAATTAGGACAATGGGTTTATATATCTGTGGAATGGCTGGGGTGGGGCAAAGAGCTCTTCCCTGCTGCAGTAGGTGTGAATGTTTCAGCTGATCACCTTCATTAGCATTTGAAGGCCTGCCTGAGCCTGGGAAAATCTCTTGCTGGGAGGTGTTAATCTGTGCCTGGTTGTTTCCTCTGTTGTTTTGCTGTTGTAATTTTAGAGTTTTTTTAATACTGGTAGCCAGATTTTGTTCATTTTCATGGTTCTCCTTTCTGTTGAAATTGTCCACATGCTTGTGGATTTCAATGGCTTCTCTGTGTAGTCTTACATGGTGGTTGTTGGTGTGGTCCAGCATTTCTGGACCACACCAACAATACATTAAATTCTTGTTATAATTTGGTAACATGCCCCTTTGTCTGTTAAATTTCTATTGCTTTTGGAGGCACCCATCAAGAAAGCAAAATATTGGTAGGAAATTCACTCAAATGTTCCACCAAAATGATAGAAATTTGATAAGAAGAGAAGTGGCAAGAAAATTACACATTAATAATGACAAAGGAAAAGAACCTAACTAGTTGTTACATTATTGAGAAAAGGGACTCTTGTGTCTCCCCCCCCCCCCAACTTGCTAGTAGTAACATCAATAACTATAATACATTAATTCTAAACTTTGTTTTGGTGGAGGGTGGGGTTTTGTGTGCACTCATGGGTATCCCTTTCTGTAAGCATATTTTTAATGCACACCTTTCCCTAATCACATTACAATAACAGCATTCCTTTTAGTGCTCATTTTTGTACACACATTTTAGTGTAATTTGCTTTGCCATGCACACTCTTGTGTGCATTTCCCCTGAGACAAATTTCATAGAATTTTTTTTTTTTACAAATTTTGGAATGCAAATTTTCCTGATTCAGATAGAAGATGTGAATTAAGAATGGAAATTCATAATTTTCTCACTTCTCAACAGATGTTGAGCAAAGGGAATCTTTATTTCTTCCTGTCGTGTCAAAACAATAAGGATGATTATTTCCCACAGAGAACCAAAAACTCAGCACAGTGTTTAAAACCGACACATTTTTTAAGGACTGCAGTTTCGTTTGGAATTGGGCAACTTTCTTAAAGCAATTATGTAGTTATAGTTCTGATACTGCCTTTGAGCAAAAGAGACAACATTACATAGAAATGGTACCAGGAATTAATAAATGAAGTGTAGTGTATATTGCAATTTTGGGTCTGGTTTTCTAGGTGTGCAAGTAAAATCGCCACCAATGCCCTTTCAGTCTCTTGCCTAAGGAACTCCAAACAGTGGATTCTCTTGGCAATAAGTCTACAGTCCTCTTTTTTCTTGATCTGCCTGTTTGTCTATTCTGATTCTCCAATTCCTTCGCATCTCTGCTGATTTCATTCTCACAAAGGCTGATCCTGTCCTGCATGACTACAGAATTGGAGTAGTCATGCAGGCCAAGAAAGAAGGGGAATGCAGACTCAGAGCCTAGATTATTCAGGAAGCAAGCTGCATAAACAGCAGCAGCAGTAACAACAACAACAACAGATGAAAAAGAATTATGAGATGTTCATGGGAGAAGAACACCCTTACCCTTGGTGGTAATAAATGAAATTAGAGGACAAAATAGTCATAGTTTCCACAGCTCAGGTGCACAACTTTAGGACTTAATATTCAATTAATGTTCTACTCCTTTGCCCTCTTTTCAGTATTGTAGCATTCAATAGTTATAAAAATTGCATGGTTTTAATTAGTATAAGTGTGCAACTTTCCTTGGAGAATTGTTCTATATTCCAGCTGTACAGCTTTTCAAGTTATGCATAGTTGACAAAGTTGCACTCTTTTATTGTGCTAAAGCCAAAAACAAAAAAAAACCAAACCAAACAAAGCTCCTGCACAGTGTAGGGACTTTCCAAATACTGATTTTCTTTCCGCCAGTGTATCCGAAGTGGTCAGGCACACCAAATTCCAGACACATCAGGAAATTGTCAAATACCTATTCTATTCCTAGTGCAAAGTGGATAAATCCATCAAAATTTGATACAAGTTTCTGTAGTGTCAGATCTTCTCCATGTCTTTCCATCACACAGCATAGGAAACAACCCATCAGCAGAATACACCAAGCTGACATGGAAGAAGCAATAGATATTCACCATGCTATTTATACTATTTGCTTTTAATACTGGTAGAAAATGTGGTATACTGGTAGAACATGAGGTATTTTTTCTAAAGCAAGCCACATATATTTGAGAGCAAGAGAAATAGGACAATCTATAAGGTGTGCCTGGCTTCTTTAGGAAAGTAGTCTGTATTTGCTTCTTGCGATGATTATGCCTGTTGCTTCTCAAATGAACTTTACTACTTACTTTCCACTTCTGTCTCCTCTTATGAAATAAATGTGAGATTGAAGGTAGCCTGCACAGCTTCTAAAGATTACTAGAAACTGATTTCATAGACTTATTTCTGAACCTCAGATGCACAGATAAATCTGATGTATTTATGTGTAAAACTAGTATGAATGACTTGTCTACATTTGAAATGTTATCAAAACCTGAAATTATGGTTAGTGAATAATCAGATATTGATTTCATGTGACTTTTGCAGCCATTCATAACCTTGGACAGCAGCATTTCTTATACTTTCACTTCTGAAGGAATGAATACCATCACAGTACAAGTCTCAGCTGGCAGTATTCTCATCCAGGACACGAAGGATATAGCTGTTCATGGTAAGCAAACCTAGTCATTAAAGAGCCTCTGTAATGTCTCTGTGTGTATTCTTAGCAATCACAGTAACATTGGTCATATTCAGATACCACATTCCCACTCCTTCAAACTGTGAATGAATGCTCATGAGCAATAGGCACAACCTGTTTCTATTCTTGCATATTTTAATTGAAAAAATTCTTATTTCATCCTTAAACCCCAGTTGGCAGGATGATCCCAAGTAGCAAACTGTGTTTTAAGTTGTCCTGGCAAATTAGTATCAAATGATAATGTGTAGTCACATCATAGTAGTTAGAGAGTTTGGAAGAAACTCTGTAACCACAGTTTGTTACTTCAGACATCATTGAATAAACCACAATATAATTATTAAGACATAATAAGAATATTAATCCTAAGCTTTGTTTTGGTGGCTGGTGGGTTTTTGTGTGTATATAAAGACTATAATATTTGAATGTTTCTTTTAAGAAGGAAGAATTTGAATGGACAAATAATATAGTGTCAGTACTCAATCATACTGTAGCTTGTCCAATTTATAGATCAATATCAGTAATTGTTTTCCTTGATTTACTACAATTTCAATTAGTCATATCACAGGAATAAGTAGTAAAGCATTTGGTGAATCAGAACTTGAATGTGTGGCTGTGTATATTAATTGTGGTTTTTAAGCATGGTAGGTAAAGATAAAATAGTTATTGACTAATTGGTATTTGATATATTAATGTAGGCAGTGTGGGTGAGTTATCATACAATTGCAGTGATACAATATTGGTCTGAGCATTCTTAAAGATCAGAAAAAAAATTATTAGGTCTTTTCCACTTGCCTCTTCTACCATATTTGTATTTTGGTATTGTGGATAAGCCAATATTAATTTTCTTCTTTTATAAAATCTTTAACTTGGTGTTAAATCTTAGCAACCTACAAATTGACATATTTACATATTTTTTATTATTGTCTTTGTCCTATTATGTATGCTTGTATATCTGGAATCCAAACACAGTTTGGGACTAAAAGCAATGACATTCCAATCTGCAAGGACCATGCACATGTTTTGGCTATTAATGTATGAATGGGTTGTTGTAGGTTTTTCCGGGCTATATGGCCATGTTCTGAATGCATAGTTTAGAGTGGTCCAAGGCTAAGTGATGCAAAATGAATCTGGCATCAAACAAAAAAAAGTTGCCAAAACAAAGAAGTGATATGACAATGCATTGAGGGCATTATATTAAATATCTGGCGGACTGCACAATGCTCTTTGGGTCTTGAATTATCACCTCATATTCACTTTATATCCTCTGGTGCAGCCTAAGTAGAAGGGATGCAGCTACGATGAAGGAGGGAAGGAGGGCATTCCCTTCCCAGGTTAGAATTCTGTGAACTTCCAGGAAAGTTCCTTTGGTTTCCAAATTTCTAACACTGCAGTTCACTTATAACTTCAGTTGAGTATTTAGCTTCAGCATTCAAAGAAAAGGGACAAATAAAGTTATCAAGTGAATGTGAACAATGCCAATATAGTTGTGTTAGAGATGTGTACGTTTCCATCTATCACTCTTTGCAATGCCTCATTTTGCTTCTCTCGTGAACACACACACGTCCTGCCTAGTTGCTTAATTAAGTTGCTTCATTTTGCTGCATAATAAGGCTAGTCCTAGCTAAAATTACACAAACTATCCACTTGCTTAAGGTCTTCCACTTAATTTCCATCCTTTTAATTATAGACCTTGCTAAAAATCACATCCTTCATTATTCATCATGTGTAGAAAGAATTTATATATATATATATATACTTTTTATTGAGATGTATTCTTACAGATATATAGGTAAAAGTTGGGGGTTGGAAATATTGGGATTGAGGGTAGGGAAAGGGTCGGAAATAGGTGAGTTGGGAGGGAGGAAAGGGGTGTTGACTACAAGGGGGTTGTAAAAGATAGGGAAGGGAATGTACGGGATCTGGGGTGGAAAAAGGGTACGGAGGGGGGTGTGGTAGAAAGAATTTTTGTCCTAGCCGATGGACTAGAAGAATAGCACATTTCTCTTCTTCAAATCTCTTCTGGGACTTGTTTGTTGGGACCCAGACTTGTTTTTACTACATGTCAATGCATACATGTACTGGGTGTCGTGCAAAATTTATATTTCACTGTTCTTATTCTGCCAAACCACTCCAGAAAGTTGGACATTGTCAATGTGCAGAAAACTAGAAGGTGTAAAATCAGATCTTCAGGTAATCAGGTGTCAAAAATAGCTAGAACACAATGTCTAAAAGCAGACTGCATTGACCAGCTTTTATGACATAATCATTTCTTTTCTCCATCTTTCTGGGCAAATATAGAAGAGTCTACTTTAATAAAAATGCTTGAGGACCTTGTCATTAAGATTGAGTCATCTTCTCCATAAGTGGTCAGCACTGTTGGGCTGAGTTCTGCAGATTCCCTGAGTTTTCTGTATATCTCTGCCAATGACATCAATAAAATGCATATATATATATATATATATATATATATATATATATATATATAATTTAACATAGTTTATTGGAAGAAATGTAGTATACTTTCTTAAATGGTGCACTGCTATATTTTTATCAGATTACAGTATTGAGCCACATTGCATCTCAATCACAGAGATAAAGAGGTATACAAATATAATAATAATAATAATAATAATAATAATAATAATAATAATAATAATAATAATAATAAACATCATCTAATGGTGTTGGAACCTACTTAAGGGTTGTGTATATGAGTAGTGTTATAGTCCTATAGGTATAATCAATCATAAAGGGCAATGATTTTCCTACTTCAGAACTTCTTGTATGTGCTTAGGTGACCTAACAGAGTCAAGATAATTGTCATAGATTGAGATCAGACCATCCATACCTTTCGGACAGGGGTAGACATGGTGAACTCCTAATTAATTATAAAAAATGAAAGAAATTTCTTTTGTAAACAATTGTTTTGTCTTCGGTGTCCTTTGGGTCATCTTCATCTGATTGGGGGGCAGGTCCCTTGGATTAAAATAAAGCCTTCTCTTGGTCTAAAATGGCCCATAAGGTGAAAATGCTCCTGACACCCTTTAGAGGCTATTTGGGGACAATTCTTTACAGAAGGTGCAGGGCTTTGTCAAAAGTTTCCTGGTGTCTAATGTGGTCGCTTGCAGCCCACAGTGCAGGGGTGATGCTAGGGAGATGTTGTGGATGCAAAACCAAAAATATTCAAAGAGAATGGGAGCTATATGCCTTTCAGTTTCCTATTTGTTTCCTGAGCTAGACTGGTGGCTTCAGACACAAAGAAAGCTGCTATCCTATTGTCTGTCTTGAAGAAAGAGTTCACTGGCAGTCACTTTAATGTAGAACACTAGGGACCACCTCCTGCACCGTTGCCTCAGGCAGCGAAATATCTTAGGCTTGCCCTGAAAAGCACATCACTCAAAGGAGGTAATGCAAGAATGAGAAAAATGGAGAGGAGAGCATCAGGAAAGAAGAATTGGGACTCCATTTTCTGTGCAGCTTGTGATAAAGGAGGGGGAAGAGGGCTCCAGACCTGTAACAGGCAGACTCTGGAATGGGTTAGAGAAAAGGTCCAGCTCTGTGCATTCATAAACTTGGTTGCCATGAAAATTAGCCTTGCTCTCCCGCAGTCTGTTAATTAGAAAGTAATTTCTTAGTGCCTCATGAATTGCAATACCCTGATTCGCTTGTCATTAGCACGAATGGTATCTGATTTGTTATGCATTAACTACTCATGGCTGCACATAGGACTAGCAAACAGATAATTCGTGCTTTTGGAAAACAGATTACTTACAGTGAGGATTTGCTCAGTGGAGCGCAAAGCATGCCAAGTGCAACAGAAAAACAAACCACTTTAGGAACATTGGCTCCCATTTCCTTGTTGGCATGGTTTGATTGCTGGACACCTCTGCTGAATGCAGGAGGGTCTAAGGTCAGACTGCCAAGCAAGCTACAGATCTCACACCAAGAAGGAAGATTTATAGGCTCATCTGGCTTGCTTCCTGTTTTCACTTTCTCTTTCTGTCTTCCTTCATTTTACTTTCTTATACAAAATGCTTTAGGATGGGATAAAAATTACTTTATAAAAAGCAATCTAGTCTTCTGTCTCCTTGCTTGTCTCACACAATATGTTATACTGCTTCTTTTCTTCCCTGCCTTTTTCAATTGGGCTCATCACAGACTTCACCTAGGATTTAGGCTGCAATCATGAATACACTTACATGCAACATTGGATTCAGTGGGATTTTAAGCAAAAGCCTATGGGGTTATGTACCTTAAAAGCCAGTAAAAAATTGACTGGTGCCTTTTGCAAAGTTCTGTTTTGATTTTAAAAGCCCTGTATGGCTTGAGCACAGGCTGTCTGAAAGATTGTCTTTCCTCATATGACATGTAGATTTTCTTTTGGTCTTACCACCAAGTATAAACCCTAGGATTTAGTTTCTGGATCTCTCATGGATGCCAAAACCTGTGGATGCTTGAATCTTATTATATGCAAAGTTGTAATGAAATTGTGTTCCTTATATAAAATGTCAAAATCAAGATTTGCTTTGGGGGAAAAATTGGAATATTTTCAAGCCATGAATGATTGAATCTGTGGGTTCATAATCCATAATATGAAGTGTTAACTGCAGATAAGAGAGGACTCTTGGTGGCTGCTCCTAGGTATTAAACTTCCATGGGCAGGTTTTCTCTCAGGAAAAGATCTTTTTATGGACATTCTTTGTGTGGGTTTTGGAATTGAATCTGAAAGGTGTGGTCTCAAGTTTCACTTATTCTTTTACTAGATAGAACTGCATCAAACTATACAGTCAGTCCTTTACAATTACTGTAGTTAGTGAGGCAACCTCCACCAAAACTGCTAATGGTTTTTTTAACTTGAGAGAGTAAAAACTCCAAGAAACTCTAGGTCCTCCAGTGTCAACTCCTGCCAAAAGTGGAACATAAAAGGTGTTTTTTTTCCTCATAATCTCTGGGTACTCTAGCACAACTCTGTGGTCATCACCTGATGAAAGTTGACCATAGAGTTGCACTAGCTGAACCCAGAGCGTCCTAAAGAAACCATATTAATCAAGTCAGAGAAATTACTGAAATCTGCAAAAGTTAACCCTGCAAATGTGGAGGGCTTTTATAAAAGAATTTATTCAATTTCCAATTTACAATAGGACTTTAGTTGTACATACTAGATACATTTTCATTAGACAGATTTAGGAAAGATGATATTTTAAACTTGTATTACAGTTCCTCTAAAACTATTATTTTCAACATCTGAAAAAATCCATTGTTAAAATCATTTGTTTGGGGGGTTTTTTGTGAGGGGAGTAATAACTTGGAATTGTTCCCATGTGAATTAGCAAAATGAAAAAATGATTTTGATATACCTGATGTGTGGGGGAAGTGTATTTTGATGGTAAATTATCTCTGTCTTTGCAGAATATTTCCAATCTCAGTTGTTATCATTCTCCCCAAATTTGGATTATCACAATCCGGACATCCCTGAGTGGAGAGAAGATATCGGCAGGGTCATCAAGAGAGCCCTGGTACAGGTAAATACCCATGACTAATGAGGGTGATGGAGGACAGTTTAGGGAAGGAAGTAGATAGTTCACAATTAGTCACAACATGGTACTGTGTGAGTCTTCATTTGCAATCATGTAACTATCCCTCTAACTCTTGGAAATAGAAGTAACGCATGCCTTGAGACTAAGGACCTCATCAGATGATCTTCGGGCTCCATATCCTTGTGGTTAAGAAACTGGGCCCCATCGGAGGTCATCACATGACGTAAGGGCACTTCTAGTGGGACTCTGTGGTGCTCCATTTCCTAATCGCATGGAAATGGAGCCCAAATACCATCGTCAGGAGTTGGGTGTTACCTGACTAAGCAGCAGAATGTGAGGCAAAGATGGGGAAAGGTGTGGTAAGCACATTGGATGGCTGACCATCCCAAAAGACAGGGAAAGATGGGAGAAAATAGGGTAAGATGGTTTCCTCTGTATTTCGCTGATTTCCCCCTATCCATATGATGAGCTCCTAAGAAAGGGATGGACAACAATAGCTCTGTAAACATTGGACTTCAGGTCATATTAACGCGAGTGCCTTGTCAGCATAATCAGTGTAGAAAGCTTACAGGAATTATTGGACAAATATTACTAGAAGACCTCAGTTATCTACCTTTGCCCAAAGCTATACCAAGTTAAAGAGGCCCCAAGGCATTACTTTTTTGTGTGTCTGTTGAATTTAGGGGACAGCAAGGAGAAGTCTTCCTTGGAAGGGAGTATCAGAGTCTAGAGCAGGCATGGGCAAATTCTGGCCTTCCAAGTGTTTTGGATTTCAACTCCTAGAAATCCCAGCCAGTTTATTGGCTGTTAGGAATTGTGGGAGTTGAAATCCAAAACACCTAGAGGGCCAGAGTTTGCCAGGTCTAGAGGCAGACACTGAGAAGGCTCTTTTTTGTGTCTCTACCAACCTTGCCCATTATGTTAGTAAGACTGTGTCAGAGCCTCTCCTGACAATCTTAGGCCCTGGGTAGGCTCCTACAGGGAGAACTGTATTCTCAGCATTGCATCCAGTATTATCATGGGAATGGACACTGAGGTTAAACTGTGAGTGAAAGTTCCACATCAGGCAACTGAAACATAGGAACATAAATAATATTTCTGAATGTTGTTATCCGCAATGCAGAAGTGTGATTTGACACATATCAATGTTTCACAAAAGTGCATTTGGAGAATTTTGCAAAGATTTTTACATAGTGTTGTCAAAACCATTTCCCCCACAAAATGTCTTTGTGGGAAACTACATTTTTGTGTTCAGCTTTTACTGCATAAAACACTCTCTTGTGCAAAATGTTTGCCACAAAGGCTTAAAATGTGAAAAAAAATCAGAATGTGTAAAAACATGAACTTGGCCAGGATTTACATACTTTCTGTTACCATTTGTCCATTTTGTTATTTCCACTTACTCACCTCAGATTTTGTGCACTTGGATGAATTATGAAATGAAGGAACAAAGGAGTTTGAGGGGAAAGGCATTGCATGCACAGTTTCTATATCAACAATTATTCAAAGTGTGATCTGAAGTGAATGCAAATGAGAGGATTTTAAACAAATTGATGAACTTTTTCTGTGGGAAAAGTAGACAATGGAAATTTAACACTTAGGATTTGATCACATTGTCTTCTGGCTTTGTCCTAGTGCACTTCCAAGACTGAGCCAGGATGGAGACCACTGGAGCCTTTCATATGACACAGGGCTCCTTCTGGCGGGGCTCCATTCTGGCTCTGTCCTGAAAGGATCCTAAGATGGAGCCCAGGGAATACCAGAGGCTTCTTGTGTTCTGATTGCTTAGAATGGGGCCAGCATGGGGGGGGGGGGAGCCGGGTAGCAATGCCTTTACCCGTGTGATGGGAAAAGCAGCAATGTGGGACATGGGTGATGGTTTCCCGCGCTGCCCAGAAAATTTTCTCACTGTCACTTGCATTTGGGACTTCCATGTGATGAGTCCTTAAAAACTTTGCACAAATCTATTCTTTTTCTTCTCTGATTCCATCCACACGGATCAAATTCTGGTGGCCAGATAGTAACTTCCCACAAATGTGTGCAAAAGAAAGCCCTTAATGCACATCAGTTCTCTGTGGTTCTTTAATCACCATTTAGGCCTCAAACTGGTTTCAGGATTTCCTGTGTAATCATTTGCACAGCAAAACCATTTTCTTCAATACCAATTTGAAACAACATTAAATTGTCAATGCAAATGTGCCCTCTTGCTTCCATTTACCAAAATGAAGGATAATCTGCACACATGGGCAAGGTGGGGGGTTTCTTCCTATCATCCAAGTCTGCTGGTTGCTTCCTCCTTGTTAAATTGATGCTGCTTTGATATATAAGCATAGAGCTGCAAAATAGGGAGAAATAAGCTAGAGTGGATTATAATGATCTATTCTGACCTATTTGGTTTTGTACACAAAAGGCATTAGATCCCATATTTGCTTGAAAGCTAAGCAGAGTCAAGCTTGACTAGTACTTGAAAGAATGAATACCAAATAATACCAGGTGCTACATTTCAAAGGGAAGCAATGGTGAACCACTTCTGAGTATTTCTCGCCTGAGAAAATCCTGTTAAATTCCTGCAGTCACCATAAACCAAGAATCAACTTGAAAGTATATACACATACATACAATAATTTATTATTCTTTGTAGTTTTTTTTATCGCAGCTCTCTTTGTCCATGCTTCCTTTTGAGATTTTCTTGATGTACTGAATTCTTGCCCTCAGTGAACATTATGTGAAGATGATGTGAAAAGTAATTCCTTGGCATGATTTAATTCTAACTTTGTTCTCTTTGACCAATTGCATTCCATCTTCTCATGAATATATAAATACATGGGCAGAGACTGGATTTTTAGCATCCTGAGAATCAAATAGCATACTGTTAAAACACACCTGTTGAAAACAACATCTGGTCTGCTGTAGCCTGATTACACCCTCTTTTTCCACATGCGAAGAGCTGGCATCCTCAAATAAGTATATTTATGCTGGCATCCCAAAGTAAGTGTTAAATTGCTGGGATGTTGAGACAGCTTGTCAAGAATTCTTTTGCTCCCATGAGAGTATTGTCTTCCAGCATGAGAGAAAGATGCCAAGTGACTTTTTAAAAGAGGGAGGTCATTTTTTTTTTTGCATTTTGCATAAAAAGTCTTTTTGCAAAACTAGTGTCATTTCTCTCTCTTTTTTTCTCAGGAAAGCACAGACAGACAAAAACAGCAAGTCCCAAAGGACAGGCTGATAAATCACAGATGTATGCAACTCATCCAGTACAGTATTTTTACAAATCTATGCAACAAGAAAACAATTTTCAGAACTCCCTGCCCCATTTTGAAGAAAACAATAACAAATCATAGCAAAATTGAGTTTCAAAAATGCACAAAATGGTGGGAATTGTGTGGGTGACATATCCAGGCCTAACCTCCCATTATGCCAGTGTATGTAGCTTTCTGATAATTGTAGAGCAAAGTGCGCAATACTACCTTGTGCAACAAATTCACTTGCATGCTGCAAAGGTTGCCAGAAGCAACCTCCTGGTGAATCAGATTCTAGGATGAGTGATTCCCAGGTAACACCTGTTGCTTTGTTTTGGAGTCATGAGCAGGCATTTTTGTAATAGCATTGGTTTTATTTACAAATATACATAATGAGTATAAATAGAGGCAAAGAGCAACATAATATTTCTACAAAGCACAAATGTATTGTCTCTCAATAGAGAGCGCACTGCCATTCAGAGTGTCTTTCAGTTTTGACACCAAACTGCCATTAATTGTTCCTTTGTAGGTCATCTAAATACCATTTGTCTAATGAGAGCTCATTAGTGACAATGATATAGCAAGCCCACATCCTCATCTATATAAATGAGTAATAAGCTGAGAGATAAGTTAAAAGGAGTTAAGTAAATTTAATGACACTTGGGCCTTGGTGCCCTGCATGGCATGGGGTTAAACTTGATTGCCCTTGTGGTCTATTCCAACTCTATGATTCTAATCATAGGCCCACCAAAACAAGTTCTTGGTGTCTTGATTTTAGCTTGCTGTTAGGGTTATTTCGGGCCCTGATACAGAAAATTGCATTGGATACACTGTATCAGCTCCCATTTCTTATGCCTCATTTACATTGCTGTATAATCTAGTTTCTGAATTTCGATTAACTCTGTTGAACTATTTTATATAGTTTAGACTTATATAATCCAGTTCAAAGTTGTCAATGCACATTCTGAAACTGGATTATATGGCAGTGTAGCTGCAGCACCAGGTATGGTTTTCATGGTTATCTATGGATGAGGAGATAGCAGCGTAGTTGACTTATAGTCTGTATGTCAAAAACTAGAGCTGATAGGGGAAAATTGGTGCCAATTTTAGAATCAGCAGGTAAAATATACTCAAAACAGGGCTTACATTTGAGGGACTAAAATATTAATTGGCCAGTGTTGTTCATGGTCAAAGTTGATAACACACACACACACACACACATATGATTTGGATGTTGTAGAATGTAGACTTCATGCAGATCCACTCGCTTGTGTAGTAGGATGCTAGTTCATCTTTCTCTGTCATTTTAAGGACTTTTCTGAGTGTGTGATTAAACCTAGTATTTTTTGCATATTAAAGCTCCTACAAGATACTGAATAACTGATCCAAATGCAATTATGAATGCTACCCATTCCCCTGCTTGTCCTCTGTTTCAGGTTACTGGCATTCCTGAAGAACAGGTTCTGGTGGCATTATTCCCTGGTTTGCCCACATCTGCTGAACTCTTCATCTTACCCCATCAAAACATATCAGACAGAAGGAAAGGCAGCGAAAGTGACCTGGAGCAGGTAAGTAAAACCCTTGCCATCTGAATATACTCTCATGTAATTAAACACAGCACAGAAGATCAGATAAACAAGACACTTCTTTGTAGGTGTGCCCAGCCTTGGAGCTATAATCTCTCAACTGTATAATAGCATTAAAAGCACTGTATTTAGTCAATTCTAATGCTCACCTTTTTTTCAATAAATTACTTTCCCAAAATTAGAGTGTGCATTAGATTTGTGTAATATTGTATATTACACAATATTAGGTTCGATGGCACATTAGACTCGGGTAAATACAGGTAGGTTAATTTGACATGATGGTTTCCAGATTGTAAACAAAGATTTCAGTTTTGATGTATTGTCGAAGGCTTTCATGGCCGGAATCACTGGGTTTTACCAATAGCTAAGGTGTTGACCCTAAATCTCGGGGCTTTGGAGAAGAACAACGCTATCCCTAATTTACAGTAAAACTGAAATCTGGGTTGTTGTTTTGCTGTTGTGATTTTTGAGTCCTTTAATACAACAGAGGGGAAACAAACAGGCAAATAAAATCACTCTCAACAAGGGATTCCCCTCGGGCACTTCCAAGCCATTGAATGCTAATCAAGGTGATCAGCTGAAACATTCACATCTAGCCCCAGCAGACAAAAGTCCTTTGTCTCACCCTGGTCATTCTACAGATATATAAACCCATTTTTCCTACTTCCAACAGACCTCACTACCTCTGAGGATGCTTGCCATAGATGCAGGCGAAACGTCAGGAGAAAAATTGCCTCCAGAACATGGCCATATAGCCCGGAAAAACTTACAACAACCCAGATTTCAGTTTTACTGTAAATTAGGGATAGTGTTGTTCTTCTCCAAAGCCCTGAGATTTAGGGTCAACACCTTCGCTATTGGTAATACCTTTGGCAATGTTATAGTCTTCTGCTGCTTAAAAAAATAATGCCACCCTATATCAATTGACATGATTTTTACTAGGATTAGAAAGGAATTGACTAAACTCAACAGCCAATACAAAAATAATATTTGCGTATTTCTCAAAACTTGCTATGGGAATGCCTTAAGCATTTATGAGGTTTACATGGCATGCCTTGAGTAAGGTATGCTGAAATGCCCACATTTAAAATGTGAGCGGCAAAATGTGCATAATTACAAAAATAATAAACACTGACTATTTAGTCAGTGGGGGAAAGTAGAGTAAAATTGGGTGAATTACATAAATAAGGACTCATATATCAGGAATAATGCATTCAAATGCAAAGACATTTCAGTGCAGGAAGAAAACACAAAGCCTTGTTATGTGGTTCAGAGAAACTGCTGATGGGGTTAAGAGAAAATCACTAAAAACAGAACCAAGACATTTGTAGTTGTTAAACATGAGCTGAAAATGGGACTTCGGGTGGCACTGGTCAAAACAGGATATGATAACATGCTTCCTATGTCAAGTCATGTGAAAGTCCTATGTGAAAGTCAAGAAAGGCTAGTCATATGTAGAAATCACTCACTTCTTATGCAATAACCCTGGAAGGGCACCTATATTGTCACACTTTATTAGCCCTAGGGTATCTCAAGCTTGATTTTTAACCAGAGTCCTTTTAGCAGCTAGACACCTTCAGTCTGTTTGACATTAATATTATTTAATATTAAAGGAAACAAGAAAAGATTCTAAAAGGCCTTGAATCACTTCATCATAGCCTTAAAATTGTACAGAATAGACTTTATAGTGAACACATGTGCAAAAGCGACACAAAACAGAATTAGACCCCTCCATCCATCACTAGTTTCTCATCTCAGTTATGTCTGATGAAAATCCTTTTTCTAAGCAGCCATCCAAAGTGTAAGAATTGCCTTTCACGTCATCAACAATAAATGTTGACCCCCATCTACAATGAAATAATGTGTTTCCTTTATTCTTGGTATTTGTTACTAAGGCAAGCCCAACTTTGATGTTTATTGATTACAAGTTGAGTGTAGCTGAAGTTACTTTAGCTGTCTTCCTGAATTTTCCTCTCTGCCACCATCGAGTATCATCCATTTTTGCCTCTGTTCTTTCTCTGAAAGATACAATGCCTCTGCCTCCCAAGTATGACCTCATATGTCCCTGTTATAGATTGCATATTCAAGGGTAACTGTACCCCATTGATTTTCACTGTTCCAACACATTTCAGACATAGCCATTATATCAATATTCTCTTTCAGTTCCAGGCTATTACTATAATTAGAATGACCACATTTAATTCAGGGACATTGTATTTTTAACAGATGTATACAACAGGGGTTTTCACTATGTGCAGTTTTTTTGAATATCTACATGATCATCTTAGCTGACATCTGTCAAAATAGCCTCTTTTCTTAAACTTTTAAATATATATTTTAAAGTTCATTTGCTCTCTTTTGCATTTGATCACCTTTATTCCAATACATTCATCTGTCTTTCAGGTTATTTTAAATAGTGTGGCAGAATCATACTGAGGATCTGGCAGTTTCATTCACTATCATTATTATTCTATTATTCTATCAGCTTCTATTGAACTAAATTCAGTTCTGGTTGTGACTTTTAAAGCCCTTGTGTGTTGGACTAAAGAAGGATCACTTGTTGGACAAAGAAGGATCAATGTATAATGCATATTGTATTGGTATGTTTATTGTGGTATTGGATTATTGCCAATTTGGAAGCCTCTCTGAGTCTCTTTGGGGTTGAGATAGAGCAGAGTAAAACTACAGTAAATAAGTAAAATAAATAAATCACTTGTCACAATGCATATTTATCAAGATTTTAATATCTTATGAAAAAAGATGGGAAGGATATTAAACATGTTAAAGTAAAGGATCAAAAGAGTTTTTTTCTCAAGTTTGGTAGCACTCTGAAGAATGTGGACTGGAGAATCTTTGCCATTCAGAATTTATTCTGCACATTGTGAAGAAAATGCTACTTCCTGGAGAGAAATTTGGGTACTTATATACCTTCACATTACCTGTAATTTATGAAAACTCCATGCATTTCACTGGTTTTCTTAAGCAAGTGTCTCTTAATTAAGAACACTTAAGCAAGTAGCATTTAGAGGTGCTTTGACATTGCCTTCCTCTGAAATTTTGCCTGGAGCTTTCAATGGTGGTCTCCTATCCAGACACTGACCAGGCTTGACCATGCTTAGCTTCCAAAATGAACCTGACCTTTTTAACAGAAAAAATCTGTCTTCAAACATTCTTGTGTTTGTGAAAATATTCTCTCATTGAACATCATCTTAGTGCTAGAAAAAAAAACTTATATTATTTTCTTGGGCTGTTTAGTTTGAACATTTTTTCATATATTTGACTCCCCTCTAGGGTGAGAGTTGTGCTCAGAAAGATATTTGTGTTCACATAATACCTGAGTAACATTATGCATATAAGTTTTTCTAAAAATCAATTGAATAGGGATGATAGAGAGAAGATCAGATTTAGCATGGAGACTCCACTCTCAATCTAGGCCCCATCTACACAGCCATGTAATGCAGTTTCATAATGCAGTTTAACTGAATTGAACTGCATCATATTACCCTACACTACCATATAATGCAGTTCACTGTAGTTAAACTGTATTATGAAACTTGCATTGCATGGCCGTGTAGATGACGTCTTGGGCCATCCCACACAAGAGCTCCCTGGTTGTTGCCACCCCCACCTCCTTCATGGTCAAGCCAGTCACTTCAAGGATACCATCCATTAATCTTGCCCTTGGTCAGCCCTTCTTCCTTTTCCCCTCTATTTTCCCCAGCATCATTGTCTTGTCCAGTCTATCCTGTCTTCTCATTATGTGGCTAAAATACTTCAGCTTTGTCTCTAATACCCTCCAGTGAGCAATCGGGGCATTATTTCTTGGAGTATAGACTGGTTTGATCTTCTTGCAGTCCAAGGCACTCTCAGAATTTTCCTCCAGCACCACAAGTTTGAATTTTGCACAGAAGTCATGAACTGCTTATCAGGAATTCCCAACGCTCAAGAAACATGCTGTTTTGAATATTTTCAAATATTCCTTCCATCCCTTGTCTATATAAATAAAAATGTAATGTTCGTTTGTGATACCATCAGAACTCAAAAACCGCTGGACCAATTGACACCAAATTTGGACACAAGACACCTAACAACCCAATGTATGTTCTCCACTCAAAAAACCCCCAAAGAAACAGCAGAAACCCCAAAAACCCACACAAGGGAAAAGCTGCCATTACAGCATTGAGAGCCAAGCGCATGCGCACACACGGCCATACAAACAGAACTGGCACAGCAAGTGGCACCGAGCTCCCTCCCTCATGGCAGCATACTCGGGAGCCTATCCCGCACACATGGCCACACCCACACACACACACACACAACTTCACCATCCCCTTGCCCTTTGCTTTCTCTTTTAAAGGTGAGGTAAGTAGGTGAAAAAGAGGCATTTCACCCTGACGGTTGTGTGTGAGTGAGAGAGGGGGGGGGGAGGAATCTCCCCACAAGGCTTGCAAACCCTCCTCCTTTCTCCCTTCGGGCAGCTTCCTCTCCTTCTCATTCCTCCTCCTGCCTCTTTCCTTCTCTCCCTCACTCCTTCCCATTGAACTTCCCAGGCAATCTCCATGGCACCATGACCCCTTCCTCTTTACCTTCCTCTTTGCATGCTGTGGCAACGGAGGAAAGGGAGAAAGGAAGACGGGAGGAAAGAAAGAAGGAAGCATGGGAAAGAGGGGAGAGCACGCCTTGCACAGCCCGGGGAGGTAGAGAGAGAGAGAGAGAGAGAGATAGGAGAGAGGTAGAGAGGAGAGAGAGGAGAGAGAGAGAGGTAGAGAGAGAGAGAGAGAGAGGTAGAGAAGAGAGGTAGAGAGAGAGGGGAGGGGAGAGGGAGAGAGAGGTAGGGAGAGAGGTAGAGAGGCAGAGAGAGAGATCTAGAGAAAGAGCTAGAGAGAGAGAGAGAGAGAGAGAGAGAGCTAGAGAGAGCTAGAGAAAGAGAGAGCTAGAGAGAGAGAGAGAGAGCTAGAGAGAGAGGTAGAGAGAGAGAGCCG